TTTCCCGTGGTTTCAATTCCTCGGATGGTGCAGAGATAGACAATTGCCCAGCAAGTTGCTAAGCACAAAATGAGCCACCACTGTAGTGTGCCACTCTCGGTGACGTCGGGTGTTATGTTCAAAGTTTTCCTGTACCAAAAATAATTTACTGCAGTACTTTCATAACATTCTTCGTTGAGCCCTGGAAAAAAATGTGGCAAGCATAAGAATAAATTTTAAAATTGGTCATGTTTTTCCCACTCACTGTATAGTTAGGAAGCAATGCTTTATCCTAACAGAGAGTGGCAGGACGGTCTCTTGTGGGCTGCCACATCAAACACAAAGGTGGACTGAAGTGGCCTTTCTGTACTGCCTGTAATGTGCAGTAAGACAAACTTTGTCATGGCAGGCTGAGACCTACACCAGAACATCACCAGCGTTTCCACAGGAGATAACTTTCTAAATGGAAAAAATGTCCTACTTAGTGCGAGGTAAAATCTGAACTGTAGTTGTGGTGGACATTATGAAATTTTTTGGCTGTATGTGTACAAGTTGGTGGAACTGCAACAAGGTTGGGGCACCTGTGGATCCCCTGGTTATGTCATGGCCCTGTAGTGGGGCAAGACCCAGGCATCAGCCTCTTTGTTCCATGTTTGCAGGACTGTTGTGAGCAGAAACCTCGGGCCCCTGCACCCGGGGCAGCGGGCACTCTCCAGCCAGGCTCTGCACCTGGAGAATAGGGAACTGGAAACACAACATACACCACGACATGTGCTCGCCCCTCTGCCAACGTGCAAGAGGAATGCCTGAAGAGGAGGCTGGCAGAGGATCTTCAGCAAACCCACTGGCCTGCTGTCTTTAGCTGGAAACTTGAGTTCCCTGGGTGCTGCAGCTCCTCCCTTTGCTCCTAGCTGGAATCAGCTGTGTCCTGAGAGCACGAGGCAGCCCTGAGTGTTTCCAGGAGCTGGGGTTACGCAGCACGGAGCCAACAGAGACAGCACAGGTAGCAATCCCTGTATCCGGGAGGTCCGACCCACACCAAGGCTGGGGAAGCTCTTTCTCCTTTCCCTGCCTGGTGAGACTTGTCTGCATCTCTTCCTCTGCCTAGGAGAGCACGCTAATTTTCTTGCAGTGTCTCCTGCTGGAACTGCTGTTTTGCGTCCAGTCTCACTCAAGCTCAGCGTAACGTTTTTTCCCCTCCTTCCCCAATTTCCAGCCCTGTTCACTTTGGCCGTGGGCTCCTGCTTGGATTGCCCGGCACGCCGAGCCAGGCGGTTTGCCGCTCTCCTGCCGTGAACAGCTGACAGCCCAGGCTGGAGAAAGGGCGTCTCATTCTGCTTGCACGGAAGGGTAAGTCAGTCGTCCTGTCACGACTTTACGAAGAGAAAGAGCATGTCTGCAGGCAGGAGAATGATAAAATGCTGCATTTCAGTGACATCCTAGTGCTGCGTTTACTGCTCGTAAGTTTAAGGTGGGTGAATGAAGGAAGTGGCTGAAGGGAACCTCCTTTATTCTCCTGTTTAAACTCCAGAATTGGGCATGGTGATTTATTTTGGGAGGATAATCCTGAGGGTACAAGAAATAACTCTTCCTGCTGTTTTGAATATTTTCCTGTTGTATGAGATGCCAGCCTGCTCAATGGAGCTCTCAGACTGGCCCATTTCTCCCTTTTCTTGTGACCCTTTGCTCGCTTCTGAAACAGCCACTATTCACAGCCAAACTATTGAAAACAAATCAATCAACTGTGTGGCAATTAAGCCCTTAAACAGAGCTCGTGGATCTTCTGAGATCCTTGCACAGTGGCTGCAGCAGGAACACATGGTGCAGTGCTCCCAGGCAACCCGCTCCCTGAGCTTGACGATGAGTAGAATTTGGTTCACTTTTTGCCCTGATAGATTCTTTTAGGGAGTCTCCTGTTATGCAGGAGATGTTAATTCAAGTATTTTCAACTAGAGGGTGGAAGCAAAAGTGTGTCGCTGTGCCATCCGTGCCTCCCAGCCCTCCGGCCTCTGGAAGAGGTGGCAGCTGCGAGTCCTTCTGCTGTGGTTCGGGAGAAAGGGCTGACTGAGGATCCTGGCTCTGGGAGAGGTTTGGGAAGGGCTGCCCCAGCGGTAGGAGAGGCCCCCCTGCCATCTGACCCTGGGGCACAGAGCCTTCAGCACTAGCTGCTTTAGGGAGAACAGGAAGATCTTTTAAAAGTGCAGAAGAAACCCTGAGAAAAAACATCATGAAATTGTTATTTATAGTGTAAAAAAGGTAATATTGGTGGTAAATGAATGTTTTGCTCTTATTCTTCTGTAAAATAGAGCCATTACAGGACTGGCAAGTAGTAAAAATTGACTGGAAAATGCAGGTTACATTAGAAGTAATCTACAGATTGTAAATTTTTAATCGAACAGGTGCAGCAAATCACACCGGAGACAACAGAGGAGATTCCTGGTTTGTAAGTCTTGAAATAATACAGAAATTCTAGCAAACAAAGAGTGAGGGCACCTACCTTTGAAAAGCAAGAAAAGTGACCTGAATGAGTAGTGGCAAAATCTTGACCTCAACTCTGGGCTAAATTCTGGGAAAGCTGGCCTAGCTGGCAAGAAGCTGCTGGAGAGGAATAATCATGATTGTGGTCATTGTGGCTTTATGAAACTTCTCAAACAAGACTTGCTCTGGTGAGATTGCAAGGTGGAGAACGAAGTAACTTGCAGGTATGTGATGTACTGATTTAGCCAAGGCACTTTTCCAGTTACAGATTCACACTTGAAAGTGTGGTTGCCACTGAAATGTCATTACACCCGAAGCTGGTGATCTTTCAGTGCATGAGAACACTGGTGAACTCAGACTTACTGGTGTCCTCTCCTCAGCTCTGAATTAAAAGAATCGGACATGCGCCCGGATATGCGCTGACCAGCGCAATCCCAGTTACCTTGAAATACCCAGTCTCTGGCTGTGAATGCCAGTCTGTGGGTTGTAGCAGGGTGTAGGAGTAATGAGCTGTGTAGTGAAAAGCTTTGCTGCTCTTGTCCCTTCAGTCTCAGCTTAAGTGTGTGAGCCTGAAATCGTGCCATTTTAGTCTGTGTTCAGCTAAGCCTGGTGAATGGGAACAGCTGCTACTTTAGTCACTTAGGAAGCAGCTCCCTGGAGAGAGCATTGCAATCATGATGGAGAAGTGCAGGTTCTTCCCATCTTGCCACTGGTGTTGAAAAATCTGTCCTTAAAGGACTTCTTCACTATTCTCTAAAAGACACTTAACTAAAAATGCAAGGTTTTCTATAGCAAACTAGTTGATTAAAAAGTTTCATCTCCAAAGCAGGTTTGGAGAACATTTGTTTAGCTCACTAGTTGGGACATCTGTATCCTGAGAAATGAAAGAATCCTGTTCCTTAAGGCCCAAATAATTTTCTCTACTTCTTTAACAAAGATGGGGGATGTCTGGTTGTCTTCCTACTCTTGAATGGTCCTTAGGAATAACTAAAGTCTCCAAAAGAAAGTTGACTTCTGCTGTGTTTTGTCTTTTTTCTTAGCCTCTTATTCAGATTATGTTTCTTGCTCTGCCCTGGAACTTGTCATCTCTCATGCTCTGAACAAAAAAGAACGCTGAAAAATAATTTTAAAGAATTGAGAAGACTCTTCCTTATCCTGCTCAGGTACATTGTCTGTCTTTGGTCTTACTTTGGTTTTATAATGGGTAGTGTGAATTTGGTCTGAGCCTCAAAGATTCCCTCTTAAAGTAGTTTCTCTGCTACCTCAAAAGTGTTTTGCTTATTTAGTTGCTCTTTTTCTCTTTTTTTAACACTATTACTTCATTTTCCATTTTGAAATCAAGCAGAAAGGTCATGGACTTTCTGGCTTTTGTCATTCCTGCGAGGATGCTGGATTTGAGTAGGCTGTCATCACTCTGGCAGTGTTTTGACAGGAAAACAAACCAGGTCTCATGCATAACTCGGGGCCAAATCGAGTGTGGCTTCTCTTCTCAAGGGTTTCTTGGTTAGCTGCCTTGTTGGATGTGTAAGAGTAGTTTTGGCAATCTACAGGCAGAAACTAAAATTATCCAGTAGGGTTGTGTTTCCTGCTCTGACAAGTCAACTGATCTTTCTCAGCACGTCCTGGTAAATGAGCTGAAAGTTTTTTTATAAGAGCTTGTTATGAGTCATAACTCATGCGTCACCACCTAATGAAAACTCAAAAGTCTCATTTAAAGCAGTTACTAAAAGATATAGTCATAAATTTGATTCTTAATTATGCTAACAATCCCACATGTCTTGATAAGCAGTTTATGATGAGTGTGTTTTGATAAAGGACTATTTCTCCGTAGTCAGAAAGCAGAGGATGCTCTTTGAGACTGGTGTTTGTATCATAGCACAAGCATGCAAAGTAAAAAAAAAATTCCCTTTGCCACTGCTAGCCCCCAGATTCTGATGTTTGTGATCTTCCTTCTGCTAGCAGTGATGCTCGAGGTGGTAGTTACCTGTTCTGTTTTCATTGAGAGGACAGACACTCCAAGGAAGAGGCTCCTGGAAGGAGTTTATGAAATACCACATCACCCAGGTTAAAACGGTGTTGTAGTATAAGCTCACCAGAACCGACACCATCCATGAACCAGCACCTGCAGAAGGTGCAAGATCTCAGCTTAGAAAAGCTTTGGAAAAAATTAGCGGTTACAGCACTTGCTCTTAGAAGGTCGTGTTTCCTCATTTTTCAAGATTTTCTGTTTCCCAACAAGATTTTCAGGCGAAAGATGGGCATTTGTAGCCGAACACTGGTGCACAGTGCCCCAGCTCACCAGCCCTGCTCCGAGAAGGCTGACACTCCCTACTTAGTTAGAAGGTTAGGGTTGAAATCTTTGCTCTAGTAGATAATACATTTTTTTCTACAACATGGGACAACTTTAATAGCAGAGACCAAAAGAGGCTGAAGATTCACAGCATGCTAGAGCTGTACGAGGGCACTTTTTTATCCCAAATCATGCGCGTATGCCCTAAACTGCTGACTGGTTTACTCCTATAATAAGGAAGGATGAATAGCAACACCACGGTTTCTGCTTGCTTGTGTTTTTCCAAAGGGACGATGGACATGCCTAACTGTAGGAGATGAGTTTAGCTGGAGGCACCACCCTCCTGCCTGGTATTTCTTCCTAGTTGCCCTCTGGCCCTTAGATAAGTCCTCTTACCCACCCTTTCTCCTCCTACACACTCCCACAGGCATAGCTGTCCCATTTTCAGGCACCTGCTTAAAGCAGGGCATGATCCAGCCGTTCTGGCTGCAGCATCCAAGGGTTTCTCCTTGTCCCTGCTGGCAGGAGGGTGCTGTCTCAAAACAGGTAGAGCCAATGGCCCAGCCTCTAAGGATGGCTGCTCTGTTCACTTTTTGCAGCCTAACGATGCACAGAGGACACAAGATATGTTTTTTCAGTGTATATTAAATTAAATAAATAGAAAAAAAATTGGTGGTACAGAGTAGCGGACTGGTCTGATGCTCACTGCTGTACGGATTGTCCCTTGTGCCCAGCCGTGTTAATAGTGTCCCTTCAGTAGCCCCACGATGCCTCTGTCACATGGAGGGGAGATTTAGGCTCTTTAGGAGGTGCCAGGCTCCTGTTCCTGATTTGCTGTCTTTCTGTCTCCCCTCCAGTCCAACTGTCCCTGGACAGGGAAGGCTGGCTCCAGGAGCGGGCAGGCAGCTCTTCTGTAAGCTCCAAGATGTGGTAGGAACTGGGCAGTGTCGGCTAGCAGAGCTCATGATTGTTATGCTTCCCATAGCAAAGATTACAAGGTTTGCATTTAAGGCTCCCGTGTGCCTAGAGTAACACCTGATGGGGGCAATAGAGAATTACAGAATCATAGAAGGGTTTGGGCTGGAAGGGACCATTAAAGGTCATCTAGTCCAACCCCCCTGCAATGAGCAAGGACATCATCAACTAGATCAGGTTGCTCAGAGCCTCGTCCAACCTGACACTGAATGTTTCCAGGGATGGGCAACCTGTTCTAGTGTTTCATCAGACCCATCATAAATTTTTTTTTTTTTGTCTTAACAAGTGTGAAGTACAGGTCTGTAGGAAGTGAGTCCTGGGTGGGAGCTCAGCTGTGGTTCCTTGAGCTGGGACCCCGAGAGACGTACCGACTCCTCCCAGGTAAGGCGAGATGGTGTTCCAGGCACCGATGCTGCCTTTCCTCAGGCACTGTCCTAGGGCCAGTTCGAGGTGCAACAGTGGGATTCCTTCGAAGAGAAGAGCGATGAAGTA